GTGGGGGTGGGGGGAGCGAAGGGGGTTGAGGAGGGACAAGGGCTTGACGGCGGGAAGCATTTCAGAGGCGCACGGGTGGCGTGGGCGCGGTCAGGTATATCAAGGCGGTGTGGCATGCACGGGGCGAACGGGTGCGTGATGACAGGCGCGAGCGGCCTCTGCTGGCGTCTGGACAACGGTGCGCCGCCCCTCGGTTTCCCGGCCCGGGCCCAGCCGCCCTTCCTCTCCACCTCCCGGCTAACAAGGGGGCACCCCGCCCCTTCCTTCACCATGCGCAAGGCCACCACCCCTCTGGTTCCTCCCCTGCTGCACGCAAGCGTCTGCACAAGCACGCGCGGCCCGCCCACCTGGCTGAAAATGAAGGCGTTGAACAGCAGGCTGTCCGCCCTCTTGAACTCCTCCTCGGTCTGCTTCTCATGCCGCGACTCCCAGAACTGCTCAACCGCGCGGTACTCGCTGTAAGCGGGGCAGCCGCCGCTGCCCAGCCCGCAAAGCGCCTCCTTCTCATTGCCCGGCACCGTGCCCGGCGCGAAGCTCGGCCCGCCCACGCCCGCGATCGCCGCCGCGCACGCCGCCGACGCGCGCGCGCCGGGGCCGCCGCAGGGCAGGTTGCAGGACGTCAGCGCGGCGCAGTACGCCGCCGCCTTGGGCCGGGAGAAGCCGAGGCCGTCGGCGGCGTCGGGCGCGGACAGCCGGTCGATGCAGTAGGTCGGGCTCGGCTCGAGGATGGGGCCGTTGGAAATGAGGGTGCAGGTGTCCGTGAGCCAGTACCGCGGCCAGGGGAGGACAGGCAACGCGTACATGAAGAAGAAGAGCCAGAAGAGCTGGTAGAAGCCCTGCACCAGGATGTGCTTCCACATCTTGCCGGTGATGAGCGGCTCCTCGCGGCCGTAGGGCTTTTGGGGGGGCAGGGGTGGGGGTGGGCACAAGGATGGGGCTGGGGCGAGGGGTCGCAGCGGGCGAGGATGTTTGGAGCGGGGGAGGCCGCTGGAGTTGGCGGCCTGGGCCTGGCGCCATGGGCGGGACGTCGGCTGGTCTGTGAACCATGCAAGCGCAGACACCCTTGCACTCACGGGTGCTCGCCGGGCTCGATCGTGCGAGTGGCCCCGCGTGCTCAGTTGCCATCACCCTCACCCCCTGCCGACATGCGCGGTCCTGCACACACGCACGCACTTCTGAACTCCCCACAGCGCACACGGTAACGCACGCTGTCACACCAACACGCATTCACCGGCACTCACACGGGCGCACACGCTCTCTCCCACCCAGCCACCTAGTCCACACACACGCACGCACGCACACACATGCACGCACGCACACACATGCACGCACGCACGCACACGCACACGCACACATGCGCGCACACACACACACGCACACACACACACACACACACACATTCACGCACCTTGTCGTTGAGCAGGTCTGGGTTGGGGTCCTCCGTGGCCAACGCAAGCGCACCCATGGTATCCATGATGAGGTTCACCCACAGCAGCTGCAGCACGTTCAAGGGGATGCGGCCGCCGGCCACCGCGCCCACAAAGGCGACCACCAGGGCCACGAAGTTCACGGTGAGCTGGAACTGCAGGAACTTGCGGATGGAATTGAACACGGAGCGTCCCCACAGAACAGACCTGTTCGTCGCGGGCGATGGGGTGAAGCGGAGGTGGCGGTGTCGATGAGCGGGGTTTGGCGGACGAATGGCGATGAGATGGCCAAGAGAGCCGGGCTCGCAGCCGTGCGCGGCGGCGCCGACGGGCGGCCAGGCCGCCGCCTCTGCGATGAGGGGCTGAGGCAGCCCGGCCTTGCTCTGCGGCGCCTTCTGCCTGGCTCTGCGCATGGCATGTGGGTCCGACGCCCGAGCCCCGAGTGTTCGTATGCCCCCCTGTCGCAGCCCTGGCTACCCCGTGAGCCAACATCATAAAAGTGGCTCCGATTGCTCCAATCTCATTCAAAGTGAACAGAGCAAGAATGACCATACTCATGTGAGCAATACTGCTATAAGCAATTACTTTTTTTAAGTCTACTTGACGTAAAGTTTGTGCCTCAGCCCCTGCGCCAGGACCCCAGGACCCCTTGCCTCCCCCCTCACTTGACGATGGAGCTGAAATTGTCATCCATGATCACAATATCAGCAGCCTCTTTGGCAACCTAGTGGATGAGCGAGGGGCGCCGCGTGCATGTAGACCATTGCGTTTGCAGGGACGCGACACCAGCAAGTAACCGGCGCACCCACAGCCGCCCACACCCACCGCAAAGGTACGACGACGGCACCCGCTGCAAAGCGCGCGCACCCCAGCATCAAAACAAGGGGGGAGGGGGCCAGCTCCGCCGCTCACCTCCGTCCCGGCGATGCCCATTGCGAGGCCGACGTCGCTCTCCTTGAGCGCGGGCGCGTCGTTGGTGCCGTCCCCGGTCACCGCCACCACCTCGCCCTGCTTCTTCAGGGCCGCCACCAGGGTGAGCTTGTCCTCCGGGGAGGAGCGCGCCAGCACCTGGAGAGAGGGGGCGAGGGGGAGGGAGAGATGGGTGGGGGTGGTGGGGGGTCGCAGTGCTGGTACGTGCGCACGCTGCCCCGCCCCCTTCTCTCTCTCTCTCTCTCTCTCTCTCTCTCTCTCTCCCTCTCTCTCTCTCTTCCCGT